TTTGATTTGTCCATAAAATGGTCAAAATCAAAATGATTCCAATTTCTGAGCAGAGATCTATAACTTTTTGGTGGGCTAGCATTGATTTTTTTAAACCAACCAATCATGAATTAGTTATTTTTTGTTATCTAAACTTATTTAGTACTTACATTTATATCATGTGTACTTCTAGGTATTATTGTCTGAAATAAAGTTCTTTTTTCTAGGTAGCGTGAAAGTTAATGCAACTACTCTAGATGCAAATAAAAAGCAAATCGAGGCAGAACTATCAAAGTGGTTTACCAATTCACGGGATCGTGGTAGTGATCGTCGGGGAAGAAAAAAAAGATTAAAAAACATCAACAATGAATCAGATTTTATTTTCAACAAATAATTTGTTGCATAATATTTTAGAAAATAAAATTTTTATTTAAAATTATTTTGATGTGGTTTTTAAATTTATCCAACATTATATATCTCAGTTATTCATAGCATGTTTTTGCATATTTTCTAAAAATTTTGTAAAGGTAAAAATTGGATTGGTACTGCGTTCCATGAATGGTATATTTGTAGCGTGTATCAAGAGCGGTTTTATCGTTTTCAATAAATTTTGAAGAAATAAGAAAGGAAACACTTTTATAAAAAGATGTGGTGCTTCCACAGGCATCAAATCTTTTTTACATACCAATCTATCTTTAATCTATAATAAAAATGTGTATATTATTTGATAGTAGTTAGTGATGTTCTGATTAATCAGCATCAGCTTAATCGGCCTTTTTAAATCAGTTTACCGATTCTCCAACTGATGGCATTTTAATATTTTTACCCTGCATTATATAGTTTTTTAGACTTGAAAATTTAAAAAATGTATATGATTTTAACTGAAGTTTTCTAATAGCTTTTAAAATATAGGTTTGGATCTGATTTGGATCCAAGTATTTGTTTACCAGTTATGATTTCTTGAAAAAATTAACTTAATGAATTTAAAAAACACAACTTAAAATTGTATGGTTTTATATTTTCAAAAAATTTAATAATTAGTTAATCCAGCGGTGTCGACATCAGCCTTTAACTATTCATTGGCATCGGCCAAAAATGTGCAATCGGTACATCACTAATAGCAATATTCAGATATTCAATTTACAAACGTTTTAGCTAGTCTTAAAAAGGGAAGTATTGACAAATGTTCTCCATCTTCTTGTTTATTTTTGTCAGTTTGCTCTGAAAGCATCATGCTTAGCATATATGTCATTTATGTAATAGAGAATTTAATAGTATTTTATTTACACAATTTATACAGCAGTTCAGTAGTAAATTATTAAGGGTATAATAGTAGCTGACATTTTTTTTTTAAGGTTTTAAGATATTTAAAATTGTTATCGCAGCCTATCAACACATAATTTTATTTTTAAATTGTTGAATTAAATTTATATTATTTATTTCAATATTTTTATAATTGTTGAATTATATTTATGTTATTTTGTTTAAAACTTTATGAATTTTTATTTTGTTTAAAACTTTTATTCATTTAGTGAATAGTGAATTTTTAATTATTTAAGCGGTTACTATAATCTCTAATATAATAATAAGATACTATTAATCTGTGTTTTGTTTTTAGAGATCTGTGTAAATTTATGATTAACAACCGAAATTACAATACTTGAACAAATGTTAATTTTTGACAAAATTACGCTGCATCTTCCATATAATGGTTCAACTAAATCTAGTAAGTTTCACATCATCATTTTCAATATTTAGGTTTTAAAAAGGTAAGGAAAGGTTTTTTTACCTGAGTTTTAATATCTCAAACCATTAATTAACAGAGTTTGATAAAATAAATAAAATAATTTCTGTATATGAAAAATATATAGAATTTGTTAAATATACAGGTTTTGACCTGGGCTTCTGTGAATGGATTGTGGATGGTATTAAAACTAGTTTATCTTTTAAAATAAAATCCTTTAAAAGGACATATACAGTAGGTGTAACGTGATTTGGAATGAATACACACTTGCAGGATTTTTCACATAAATCTCATCTGGTACCTCCATGGTAATTTTTATTTTCATTTGTCAGTTGATTGGTAGAATAATATTTACTAATTTATTTAAATATGTTAAAGCATGTATGTTATACATTATTACTCCAATAATCAATTTTTAATAGTTTATTCGCATCATGTATTGTCATCAATTGCATTGTAATAAAGTAATTATTTATGTATAATAATATTTTGAATTTATTATCAAAAAACGTATCTCAAAGACATAATGAAATTAAAAAATAAATTTTTAGTCAACTTGTTCAAGACTTAAAATTTCAAATGGTAACATAGAGGGCCACCGAGAGTCTTCGCGCCGCCCGGGACAGAATCCTTGAGTGAAGGATCTTTTTTTTTTTTAGATACATTTCTTTTCTTGGCGCCCCTCGGACATCTGCCGCCCGGGACAAACTGTCCCTTTCGCCCCACCCTCTCGGCGGCACTGGTAACATAATAATCTTGTAATTTTAATTATAATCATAGTTATTTACAAGTCTTTTTATGTCAGGCCTAATAAATAACATCAAACATTAACTGTAAAATAACATTGCTTTAGATTTCCTGTAGGATGCCTGTTAGAAAAACTGAAGAACTGAAAGAAGAAACTTTTAAACTGATGTTGGGAACTGTAGAAGTTACTGTTATACATAGTATCATATCAAGGCTCCAGTTCTCTAGTATTTGTTTTTGTATTTCACTTTTTTATTTGTTATTTTATTTTTTGTTTATGTTGTTATTGTAACAACAAACTATGGGAATATTTCAATCTGGCTATGGTTATTTTACACTTATATCGATTTATATACTGTATTGAGTAAGCTTGTGATTTAAGCGTGTTTTTTTTTTTTTTTTTTGCCTAGTGCTTGTTAGTTATATGCAAGATATGGCATAGTATAGCACACTGCATGGTATGCCCTAATTAAAATTAACAAAAAATATTTTTATCTATACTTTAAAAATATATATGCTATAAATTATTATATTATTCAATTTTTTATTTTTACTTTATAAAATTAGTGTAAAAATGGATGAAAGCACTAAAGAAGCAAAACAATACAAATTAAAGAAGAATTTTGTCATGCGATCACGGTTGCAATATGAGAACTACCGTAACAGAATATATTTATTGTCGAACAGTTTTGAATCAATTTATTGTATGATGACAGTTTTTTGTTGCTTAAAAATATTATGAAATTCAAATCTGTTTTTTAAATTGATCCGTATTAATTATGTCAGACCAAATATTCATTCGCCTAATACATTTTAATGCCCAGATCGCGAATTTAATATAAACTGTATAAAATAACCTTTACTTTTTCATTTTAAATAAATAATGCTACACTTTTAAATCGAAAAAGTTACTTTATTTTGCAGATGCGAGATCGCAAAATAATAAATTAAAATCGCAAATCTGCGAAAAACACTACAAATAATTAAGAAGACGCGCGGCAAATAAAAAAAGTATCTGGGTTCAATATGGGATTTCCCATCTAAAATCCAGACTAAGCCCAGATGGAACCCAGTTGGGTCCCACTTACAAAATCACGATGGGACCCATGTGGGATACCCAGGTGGGTCCCAGCATTTCGCCCAGATGGGTCCCAGCTGGGACCCATTTGTCGTGGTTAACTGGGTATAGACCCATTTCAATACTACCATGCTTTTCAAAAATATTAGAACATACTATGTATAAAAGACTCTACTATTTCTTAGATAATAATAACATTCTTTATAATAAACAATTTGGATTCAAAAAGGATCACTCTACTGATCAGGCATATGTTCATCTTGTTCATGATATTCTTAAATCTTTTGATGAAAATAAATATACTTTAGGAGTATTTATTGACCTCAGCTTTTAATACTGTAAATCATCATTTTTTATTCACCAAATTAAAAAACTACGGTATTAAACACTTGAATCTTAAATGGTTTAAAAGCTATCTGTCAAATAGACAGCAATATATTTCTCAAAATTACGGAAAAACTAACAACATAAATATATTTTGTGGAGTATCACAAGGATCTATACTAGGACCGCTCTTATTTCTAGTATATATCAATGATCTAAGCAAATCTTGTAATGTATTAGACGCAATCTTGTTTGCAGATGATATTAATCTATTTTATGCTCACAATGATATAAAAATGTTATTTAAAATTGTAAACACAGAATTACTATAACTTGCTGAATATTTTAAAGCAAACCAATTATCTCTAAATTTAACTAAAACAAAATATACTTTTTTTCATCGCTATCATGATTGAGACAAAATTCCATTAATACTTCTAACTCTTTGTATTAACAATTGCGATATAAAAAGAGAGGTATTATTAAAATTTCTAAGAGTACTCCTAGACAAAAATGTGACATGGAGAATTCATATAAAATATATTGAAGGTAAAATATCAAGTAGCATTGGCCTACTCTATAGGGCAAAACTTTTTTTAAATTCAAGTTGTTTAAAACTCTTATACTTTTCTTTTATTCATTTCTATTTTAATTACGCTAATATTGGTGTAGTACTAATAAAAATAAATCAAAAAAACTATTTAATATGCAAAGACATGCAATCAGATAAGATAAGCAAGATAGACTTTAATACTTAAAATGTTTTTTTAGCATTTACAATATATAGAAATTTGCAGTTAAATATTAGAAATATTTTTGCTTATATAACGGTTGCTATGGCGTTGTTATGGATATTACAAAGTACTTTTTTAATATAAACGCAAATTATTATAACTCAATGTTAAAATTTTGCATTAAACTTTTTGTATTCTGTAATCAACAGAATAATGAACAAAATCTCAATTTTTATGTAAATGACTATTATTTCTTTACTTAAAACATATTTTAAAATATTGTTTGTAGTTCACACTTACAAAATTAGTGCTTTCTCTTTAAGCAATCTAATTGTTTGTCTTGCAGAACATATATTTTATTCATAACTTTTTCAGAAAAGGAAACTTCCCATAGATTTCATTTCTGTAACTTATTTTTTACTAAAATGATTGTAAACTGAATAAATTATAGGGTCATAACGCAAGAGAAAGGTGTGGGATTTTAAACATGTAACAATCAAGGCCGGCGCGATAGGGGTGTGTGACATCCCCCTTCCCCACCCAGCAATGATTTTTAGTCGGCAAACTGGACCCTTAGTCGGCAAATTGGACCTAGTTAGTCGGCAAATGTCGACCCTTTCGATATAGGTTAGACAGTCGGCAAATGTCGTCATGACAGTCGGCAAATTTTGGAAAACAAGGATCTTTTTTTTTTTTTTTTCGCCAAAAGTTGTAATGGCACCCCCCACGTGACACCTACTCGCGCCGGTCCTGGCAACAACTCTTTTATTGCTTGAACATGTTTAGTTTTATAGAAAAAACAGATTTCGGGCAATAGTTGTTTACACCATTATTTCCCCCCTATTTTAAATCTCGTCGTTATTTTTGATTAACTTTAAGTTAATCTGAGAAAATTCGCTGTCTGATTAACTTAAAGTTACCAAAATAAGTGGTATAAATAAGTGGTAAAAATAAGTGCGCCTGATTTATTTTTAGTTTACCATGATTTCTCACACAATTTGCTAAGTAAGTTTAAAATTGCTTTTTTTTTTCCAATCAGTAGAGTAAATGCGGGTCAAATAAGTTTTTATTGATCACGGTAAAAAGATTTCAATTTTTTTTTTTTTTTTTAAGTTGTAAAGACTTTTGAATTGTATTTAAATATAAAAATATATTTTCAAAAAAGTTTTTTAAGAAACTTCATTTGATTAGAAAAAAAAAAAATTTTTTAATAATTTTTTTTTATTTAGATGCCCATTAAATCTTTCGGTCTTATCACAGAAAAGCATTTGAAAAAACGCTTCTTTTCTTATCGATGCTATAAAACTTACCCAGAGGTGGCGTTGAATAATGGATCTCTATTTCTGTGGCTAGCGTACTAACCACTGCACTTCGACTCCTCATTTTTCATTCTATTCTACGGCTGCATATTTCAATATACACTCCTATTTGGGAGGAATGAAATGTGCAAATAAATGGGTTATCAAAAAAATACTTAATTTAAAAAATACAACCATTTATGTTAATTAAAAATCAACCAATAATACAATTTAAAAAAAAAATAAAAAAATAATTTTATTTATGTGATGATGTTATATCTTTAAGAGGTTTTGGAGGTTGAGTTGAGTTGTCACTTGCGTGGCACTTTTTAATGCAATAAAACTCAGTGTTTTTATACATTTCTTGGGAATAGATGTATGACAAAGCCAAAACTTGCATTTGGAATTTTCGGTTTGATATCATTCACTTTTTTGTTTTGCTTAAACTTTTCTAAAAACAATAGGACACTTTTATACTTGACTTAGTTTGCTACTGCTGTTGTTGTTGGAGATGGTGTTGTTAAAAGATTTATCTGCTGCTCATCATCAAGGTCAAATTTACGTCAAGATTACGTTGTTTCCTAGCCTGATTTGCTTTATTTTTATTGTCACTCGATTTTCATCTTGCTGAGCGAAAACAAACCAGTCTTTTGAAACCCAGAGTGACTATTTGCGTGCATGTAAAAACTTCAACAGAGGTTTAAATGGTAAAACTTGAACAGAATGTTTTTCTTGCAATTTACTAAAACATCCTTTTGACAAACTGCTGAACTTTGTCTTTGCACAAAACTCTTAAAGTAATATAATATTATGTCAAATTTTGAATCCCCCGCCCCCTCCTTTAAAATGAAACTACGCTAGAAACTTAGCCTAATTTTTCGTTATTAAAGCAATGAAACTCAAAAAAAAAAAATATTGTTGACGTCAACTTTAATTGACCTCTCCCCTCCCCCGTGTCAACAATTGTCGAAAAAACCCTTCAAAGAGCATAGATTACCAAAATTTTATGGGTTTAATATGAAATATACTTTTCACGACTAAATACAATTAAAAGCTGGTGCCACATCATTTTATAACTCTGTGTTGTGATATTATAAAACTGTGTTGTGATATTATAACTCTGTGTTGTGATATTATAACTCTTTGTTGTGATATTATATAGCGTTGATTTGTTTTTTATAGCGTTATCTGTTTGTTTTGTATCTAACAAAAACAAGAATGTCTTTCATGGTTGAAGATTATCTAAATTTAATAGTTACCCATTTTTAGACCATAATTTTTTGTATAAATATTTATTTATAAAATTTATATTTAATTCATGACCATTCTTATACGACAAAAAATTGTCTAAAAAACTCACTTCCAAATTTAAATTAGGAGAACTCTCTATAAAGAAATTTAAAAAAATTTAATTTTAGAGGAAAGACTTAAATAGATTTTTTAATACTACTTACATTTAATACAAAAATTTGCTGCAAGAGCGGGTCCGACTATGTTTACAATGCGTTTGTGCACCTTACCTAAAAGAAAAAGGGCATTGAGATTTATTGAGATAAAAAATAGATTCCTAAATAAGAAAGTAGCGAGCACGATAAAGAGATGCAACCCTATCAGATGCTTATGTTGCCATGGATTTGATTTGTGGTTTCCAAGAATATCGGAAATAATTTTCGTATCTTAAAGACAGAAACGTAACGATGGGCCCTCAGCCGTTAGAGGGCCCAGACTTATTAGGGGCCTAAGCTAAATTTTTCAAATACATATAATAACATTTTCACTTTTATTGTATATTTAACAATAACAAATTCTTAGCTATACAGTATGTAACATACTTGTTTCAATTAACTTAAATCAAAATTAAATTTAAAAATAACGCCTTTTGTTTTCATGTATAATTTTTTTTTTGTTTTGAGGGGGAGGGAAGAGAGAAATAATTTAGGATTAAAATTTTAAGGGAAGGCCTATTTTTTGTCGCCAAGCCACTGCTTAAAGGCCGAACAAAGATGTACATTGCCGTTCATAATTTTAGGAAGATCTTGATTGTTGTGGTAACTGTTAGTTTTCTTTGAGTTAAAAATTATCAGCCACGGAGAGGCAGATGGAACTTCTTTATAAAATTAATTATAGATTGGTGCAGGTTAAACATTGTTTAAAAAACGCACTAGAAGAAATAGGACGTGGCTATTTATACAAATAAAGACTTTTAAAAGCTTATGTTCTATTTAAGTAATGAAAAATGAAAGTACCCCTGCAGTAAAA